GTGTGTGGAGAAAAATAGCTTGATTTGAAAAAATAGGCCAAGGACACTCAAAATCAATCCCATAGTGTGTGAAAGTTGAAGAACCTGGAATCGATATTTGCCACGCTATTGCCCCACATAATAATATACTAGAGGTTGATAAAATGGGAAGTAATTGTGATGTAGATATTTTAAAACTTTAAAAGGGAGAGAAATACTCACATCTCTGAATCTCAAGAAGATCACGTAAAAAAAAGATTGTTAATTCCGCAGTCAATTCATTTTGTATAGCCGGTTTCCAATTGGCGTTCTAGGAATACGCTCACTCTCTCGGAAAAGAGTAATACGTTAGTCTTCTTCTTCGCTTTTTCGGTAGTTGGACGTCGCGTCTTTGACCGTTCAGAAAGAAATCCCTTATCTTTTACCCTTCTTCCTACCTGCTGCCTGTGTTGCTTTCGTTCCTATCAATCCATTATGTCATGCTCCCCAATCATTTTGTTGCAGCTTTTCCTCTCTTGCCTTTAATCTTTGCTTCCAGTTTAAACGTTTATGTTTCTCGAGTGATCCATTGCGTTTGATATGTCTAAAGTAGCTCAGTTGCAGTTGCAGTTCCGGAGAAGTATTGGTGTTTATATAAATCTATTTGTTTTTGAGTACTTCTTCATTATTATTTTCTGTGTCCAGGATGTCTTTAGAGTTCTTTTTCATCATTAATTATTTAATTCCTGCTGGGCTGGGAATTGTAAGACAAAAGATAAAGAAAAAAATTTACAGAACAATTTTAGGAAAGCCAGCAAGATCTCTTGATATAATTTTACTAGAATTAAATAAATGTATAACACCACAAATATAAAAAAGATATCACGCAGCGACAGATATTTACCTCCAAAAACAAAGAAAGAAAGATATAAAAGAAGATTTTTACCATCTAGCATAAGGCTATTGTTAGAATAAGCACAAAGTGTATTGCTCTTTAGAGTATGTATTTATATAACTCCAGAGTCTTGTTATGAAATTCCTGCATGTAGTTGTAAGATGCATTTGATGTGATATGTACATTTTGTCAGCTTTACTTCTCTTTTCATTTTGAATTTTAATGAATGTAATATATAATTAATTTTTTGTGTGTGTATGCCTGCAGTGTTTTTACGGTCCTGTGCAGCCACGAAAAATTTCCCTCTGGGATATTAGAGTATTATCTTATCTTATCTATCTTACAGTTGCGAGCGCGTAAAACACTTACTAAAAGATCTCCTCTCTACCCCATATTTGATGGGTATAAGCTAGAACCTTCAATTACAACCATACTTTATTACGAAATTCTGTCCTGACTATTAGTCCTTTTCATTCAAAGTACTCTTTTGTTCATGGTGTAATGTGCATATCGTCATTGATTGTGTTGTGATAGTGCAAGTATAAGTGGCTGCTTACTTGTTAGCATCGAACCGTGTGTTTTGATGTTTGTTCACTTGTAAATTGTATTTTGTGGTAAGATGAAAGTATTGTAAAGCGCATGGAGCGTTATTGTATGGGAGTGGATACAACATAAATTATGACATGAGTTTAATACAAATCTCGCGCAGAGTATGAAAAACATAAACTTTCATGCAAAGAAGTCCATAACTCTCAATTTTTAAAAGGTTTTAATAATGCTAAACAAAGAACAACTAGTTTGCTTTTTGAATTATTGCTTTGTACTCTCAAAAAGCGTTATGTATTATCGGGAAAGCCCCATTCTGCTTTAGAAGGCATACCTCAGATCAATCAAAATCATTCTTTGTGACAAATAGACACAAAACTCAAAGCACAAAGTATATGAAAGGCAAAGATAAAAGAGTTCTTCCTTTGACGCTTGGTCATCAAAGGGTATCTTTTAATTATTATTACTCTTCACTACTTACAAAGTCGATTTTAGTATGACCATCACACATTAAACATAGTTTTGATTTAGATTTTTGTTTCTACTTGTCTTTAATTAACCATCCCATCGAGTCGCATCAAGAGGTCACGAGGCGATCCACACTGTACTTGTCAGCCACGAAATCCTGAGGAGGGAGCGGAATGAGGGTCTTAAAAAAACTTAGTTATAGTAAGAATCTTGTAGCACTTACAACACACTATGGTCATATAAGTGCCGAAGATTAAAGTAGATTAGAGGTGTTGCGAGAGATTAACGTACATAAAAAAAAGTAAGAAGAACGATAAGGACAATAGATGTTTGATAGGAAAGAAGGAGCGAACCACACCAGAGCACCGGTCAAACACCCACTCTTAAAGATACATTCTGTAAGTCAGCATGGCATTTTCTATGGAGCAAGATAAAGAGTATGAGTGTTGGTAAAGAGAAACAAATCAGCATAATACATTAATAACCTTTATCTAGTTCTGGAAAAGGGAAAGACGTAGAGTCGGAAATAACAGAGAAATAGTATTATTACCTTGCCATTGGCGTCCATTCCCCAGCCCACAGGAATCTGTTGGCCCAGCCTGTCTTTGATTTCGACATAAAAGAAAATTATGAATGAAAAATCCTTACTCTAAAACCAAACTACTGTACCGTTCAGTTGCATCAGCTTGAAGTAATTCTGATGCCACGGCACAAATCAGTTGAAATGACAAATCAACCCGCTAGAATCGTAACTTGGTTACAGTGTCTAGAAAAGGCATGAAACTTGAAACAATGCTCGTATATTCAGATATCAGTAGATGACATAACAAAGTCTTAGTTTTTAGAGATTTTAATAGGTGTATCTCCTGACAGCATTATCTGAATTCAATTTGTCAAATTATAGTGCACATAATATGGTCTT